CCCATCTCCTCACCAATCCTACCTATCAATTTTAATGAAGTTGGGATTTTAAAGAAAATCTGAAATAATCTAATAATGCATAGAACATAATGACAGCCGTAGAATATCTTGGTTGGTAATTTTCTATTTCCTATAAAAGCTTGTGTTTTTAAAACATCTTCATCAGCGATAGACCCCTTTTCTAAATCATGTCGTGTAGACAAAGAATATATAGCTTTAAACTGTACCTGATTTTCTTTTTCACATGAGATGGAAAAGTTTATCATTAAGTAATATAGGGAGATATATTTACTGGCTTGGCAGTGTATGATTTATTAAATGGTTTCACATGAAATGTAATTATAGTCATTCAATTATGTCTATGATTTAATTTTCCCATTTTCCATTTTCAAATTACCAGAAAAGATTATAATGTATGAGAAGCTAATTATTTTGTACTATTTGTTATGACTGTTTTTTTTATTATCATTTTTATAAAAAAAACAGTATTAAGATTTTATAAAGATGAAGAAGATGAAGAAGAAGAAGACATTTATTAAATGAAATGCTTAGAAGATAATTATATGGAATATTTTGACTGATCAATTTTGTAAGTCAAATTTTTGTTAAAACTTTTCCCCATATAGAATTTCATTTACATTGAATAACATTAAATTTCATCAATTAATTACAAATGCAAATCTGCCAAAAATGTTCTTTTTTCTTCAAAATGTATTAGATATTTTTTTTTGTTTTTTAGGGTTGATCTCAAATGTAAATAAAATTTAGCCTGGACAATCAGACATGCAACATCATGCACAAAAATCTCTTATCATTATACATATTGGCCAAAGTGCCAAGGGAGCTAACCCCTACACTGTGTATAATGTTGGGACCATGTGCTTACCAACCACAAACCCCCTCTCTATGGTAATAGGGCCAATTGCATATGTCGTGCTGAATGAACTTTTTGCTGATAACAAGAAGAAAAATTGACTTGAAGATAAATGAAGTAAATTAGGAAGGTCCCTTATGGGGGATGTGTGGCAAGAAGGCAGTGCAGCAAGCCTTGCACAGGGCTGACCCCTTGTTAGGCGAATGACATGATCTCCAGTCGTACAGAAAATTAGATACGGAACAACACTCACAAATCAAGCAGACAGAAGTATCCTTGCTGATAATTTTTTGGTAATTTTGCGACAGAGTTTGCAACAGTGATGATCATATTCTTTGTCCTAGACAAAGCTTGATGGATGGCAAGATTAGGCTGTGCCCAAACTTGGATGAAATCCTGGTGCCACTGTTAAATACTGGTAATGTGCTTGGAATGGGATCATATCCATAATTTTGCATAATACTGGAATTGGTCGTGCCAAGCAAACATCTATCTGATGGTGTATAATCAGGCTTCAACTCTCAACTTTATCTCATTATTGTGAAAATTTGACATTTTTTCATCAACTATCTCTTCCCCATTATTCTTTGCTTGGCTATGATTGAAGATTTAAATTCAGATTTAGAATAGTGATATTGAGTTGTCTGTAATAGTAATGAAGATCCGTAGCCTTCGGCTGATGAAGTGGTCTACCTACATCAAAGTGCACCCACCATGCTATTTACTAAAGTACATATTTTTTTTGCTGTTTAATGAATCTAAGTATTATGGAAAGTCGTAACCTTCCTACCCTCTGATGACAGTTGAATGACCCTGATCAAAGGAATGTACTACTCATCGTAGAATCAGGGGATAAAAAGACTACATTAAAAAAGTCTGGACTGATGGCGGTGTATTCATCATCGTTAGTGTAATGTAAATAGTAATTATCATACTATCCTAAAACATCTACACACTCATTCACAACATTTCACATTACTGTAAATAAATGTATCTGATGCTTTAGGTGTCCAACGCGAGTATGAAAAATTTTCTAATTACTCTAAGTGATCAGAGACACGACCCAGCCGACAAAGCCAAATACTGTACTGAAAACAAAAAGGAAAACTTGTTACATTGTAACGTCAGTCAAAACGTTGGTGTTGTCATTTTTTTGGAGAAATGAGAAAGAGAGGACCATAGTCGGTATCAAGAAATGAGATTAACCAAATAAATTCTCCATTCCCTCTGTAGGTAATATCCCTAGGTCTATCTATACTTATCAGGCACAGACTTGATTCCAGTAGAGTACAGCAGATTGTAATCTTTATATATATATATATATATATTTTTATATAATATTTTTACATGGAATTGCAATGACTAATATATTATCCTGGATTTGGCACTTAATCATTTAATATCAGGTTTAAAACTGATCAATAAGGGCTAGGTAAATCCTATTTATCCTCTAAGTCTAGTCAATTACAGCAAGGGTGGGGGTGGGGTCCTAACCACAGTAGTCCTCTAGTCTAAGTCTAGTCAATTACAGCAAGGGCTGGTCCTAACCACAGTGTCCTCTAGCCTAAGTCTAGTCAATTACAGCAAGGGCTGGTCCTAACCACAGTAGTCCTCTTGTCTAAGTCTAGTCAATTACAGCAAGGGCTGGTCCTAACTACAGTAGTCCTCTTGTCTAAGTCTAGTCAATTACAGCAAGGGCTGGTCCTAACCACAGTAGTCCTCTTGTCTAAGTCTAGTCAATTACAACAAGGTCTGGTCCTAACAGCAGTAGTCCTCTAGCCTAAGTCTAGTCAATTACAGCAAGGGCTGGTCCTAACAGCAGTAGTCCTCTAGCCTAAGTCTAGTCATTTACAGCAAGGGCTGGTCCTAACCACAGTAGTCCTCTTGTCTAAGTCTAGTCAATTACAGCAAGGTCCTAACCACAATGTCCTCTTGTCTAAGTCTAGTCAATTACAGCAAGGGCTGGTCCTAACAGCAGTAGTCCTCTAGCCTAAGTCTAGTCAATTACAGCAAGGGCTGGTCCTAACCACAGTAGTCCTCTTGTCTAAGTCTAGTCAATTACAGCAAGGTCTGGTCCTAACAGCAGTAGTCCTCTAGCCTAAGTCTAGTCAATTACAGCAAGGGCTGGTCCTAACCACAGTAGTCCTCTTGTCTAAGTCTAGTCAATTACAGCAAGGTCTGGTCCTAACAGCAGTAGTCCTCTAGCCTAAGTCTAGTCAATTACAGCAAGGGCTGGTCCTAACCACAGTAGTCCTCTTGTCTAAGTCTAGTCAATTACAGCAAGGTCTGGTCCTAACAGCAGTAGTCCTCTAGCCTAAGTCTAGTCAATTACAGCAAGGGCTGGTCCTAACCAAAGTAGTCCTATAGTCTAAGTCTAGTCAATTACAGCAAGGTTTGGTCCTAACCACAGCAGTCCGCTAGTAGGACTAGTAGATTACAGCGAGAGCTAGGCCGAATCCTTAACTCAGGTATCTTATGACTAATCTAAATAGCATTTCACTGATATATATAAAACTTATTATAATATAAGTGATAATTGCCAAAAGTTTCATTGATTCTCATCTGTTCTACAATAGGCAAACTTCTATATATACCTGTATATCTGACATCATACATCTTTCAACATTCCACTGAAATATTATTGTCTGTTACACTACCATCATTATATAGAAATGTAAACTATTGTGATAAATTAGTCATTGTTCTATATCATCTCTGCACTTCAAGTTTACATATAGAAATACAATTATATCATTACATACACATAAATTTACATATCTGAACAATGATTTGTAATAATTCAGGGCATTCGATTTTTTATTTCTTAACTTAAAACAAATCATTGAGAGTGTTAATTCCTTCCACTTGCTAGACCCCATCATCAATAACATAATGATGATTGATCATATGTAGATTGTCTTGTCGTCTATGTGATGTCATTATGTGATGGTTCTTAGTACCAGTGGTACATATTTGTCTGGCGTGTTTCGTCATACAGTGAATATCTGTCATTATAAACATCTGCCAGCTAAACAAGGCGGTAGTAATCCCCAATAACCTAGATGAGTTATGGCTAGATACCGCCACTATGACGATTAAGGCAATCATTTAAATTCAAAGCAGTTATGCAAGATTAATTTTATGCAGATTCTTAGACCCATCTGTTAAATATTACACTTTAGAATAACAAATCCATTTGAAATTTGATATATAAAAAGCCTAATTTAATAGCATTTCCTTTAAAGTTGTAGAAGGAAGCCCCTAACCTTCCCTTTACTTTGACCAAGATCATTTGATATCTGGGTTTATAGTACTGTGTTATAGCACCCTTACACAAAATGGTACTTTGTTATTTCATGGATCACTGACAGTGGGTTTTTTGATGTTCTGTATCGGTGACCAGTATATTTAGTTAATGAATAGCAACAGGTGACAATCCCAACCAGAGACAGTTATTGATTTCAGCTTATCAAATATTTATTCTTTCATCTTCTGTTCTCCATTGAAAGGAAAATTTCTATAATTTATAATTTTTGTGTTATCATGTCAATTAATTTCAATTTCGAAAGTGGTTGATTGCTGTATAGTGTTCCCATGGGACTTAGTTGTTCAAGGTGTCGTGCATGTAACTGGACCACTATAATATTTACAGATAGTGTAGAAAACATCAGAATTCAAAATCTACAGCTATCAAACAGCATGTTAAAAATCGGATTTTGTTCAGTTCACTAGCAAAACAGTGGAGAGGCCTGACAAACATTATGTTTTTAATTTGGAATGATTACCATGATGACAATTTATAATTCGTCAAGTTGTAGACTGAATTACTGTCTTTGCTTCAAAATCTACTCCTTCTTCTGACATTTCTTTCAGGATTTTAACAATGTCAGTTGATATGATATTGTCTACAATTTTAGAAATATCATTTATCTTTAGTGCCAAGTCTAAGATCATCCTTTACAGTTACAATCAGTACCTGATCTGATCCTTTACCAACAATGAGACATTTATGGTATCTTTAGGTGATATTTCTCTCTCTAACCCGATCTAGACCAATGTTCCTGCTACACTAACAATGTGATCGATGATAATGAAATCTCAAATATAAGAAAATATGAATATGTACCTTTATAACACTAGGTTGCTCTGTGAGGCGAGAGGTCACGGAGGCAAAGGTCGAGGACAGGTTAGGATATCTGTTCTTGAATGGTTTCTCCTTGACCTGATAGTGGGCGGGGCCAGGGATTTCCACCTCGTCCTTCTTGGTCATTGTCTTGATCCTGACAGATGTTGTACCAAACACTCCCTTTCGTGTACTCTCAATGTATGCCTTCCTCATACTGTCTGAACCCATACCTGTAATGTTATAGGCTCCTGGACCTACAACACAACATAAGGGTCAATAGGTTACTGACTAAGTTTATCATATGTATGTTTATAATATTGTTTTCAGAGAGTATTGAAGTTATAGAAAAGTATGAAGTGTATTGGGAGGCAAGGGGTGGTGTGGTGTGGGATGGTGATATCAAAGTTGCTAGACAGAAGTGTAAAATATGAAAAAAATAAGATTATATACAAAAACTGGTGTGTGAAGGGAAAAGGGTGTGACAAGCATGAAAAAGTAAGCATGTTGGAAAGCACTGGAGTTGGAGTGAAATGAATGGAATTAAAGTTTGTCAGGAGGAGCAAATCTGTCGGGATAATACACAAAGTGATTCCTATCTTAAAACTATCTAAATCGCATACACACAGAGAGGGGTACTGTCACATGAAGTTATTAGAATCAGGAAAACAATTTTTTTTGTTATTACAATGTTTCAGTTGATGACTAGTAAATATCTCCCTCTACTCCCAAACAAATAATTATCATTGTTTGACAATTTTCAATGAAAAATTAACGGTGAGTTACAAATTTACATCACAAAATGATCATGATATTGTTACCATGTGTTAAGTTTTACCAAAACCTCCTGAGAAATAAAGGTTTTCTGTAAATAGTTACGGTGATATTGGCTGTGGCAGTCATGTCCAGAAAAACCAACTCGACTGAGGTATTGTCCCAGTTTATTTATGTTAAAGTTTTATAAAAAAATCCCTGAAAATAAAATCAACAGAGTGATATGCACTAATGAATCATGATTCTATGTTAATAGTGATAGTGGCATTGACCTTGGAGCCACGAAAGATGAACACATTTCATGTATACAACAGCAATTCTATTGTAAATTTCAGAGAAATGCATGCTGTTTGCCTTTGAATCATTGTAGACAAGTTTGCAGATTGCCATTAGAACGAGACAGGTGCAGTTTAATGTTTCTTGATTAGTTAGAAAGAATTCAAACTACGTAGTGGCCTACTTCTGACTACTATAACAGGTGTCTTTTCAAGTGATTTAATATCATCTGTGGCTTACGATATATATTCCTACTACTTCAAATTTTTCTTGATGATGAAACAAAGGTAAAGCATTAATTAACTGGATATTGCTATAAACTGCTGCTGTACATTTGTCTTTGTAAAAAGAGACTACAGACTACTTCAGACTACACTAAAAACCAATATCGTGGCATTACACAGGTAGTTTACAAAATCAACAGGCAATTTGCTGCCAAATACTTGAGTAAGTTTTCCAGTTGATCAGATGGTTAAAGGATTGTGCAGAGGCCTATTTCCCACTGGAAATGTAATAGGTTGTGTTGATAGCTAGTGATCAATGCACAGATTACAAACATGAAGAGATTCTTGAAATAGATACATTTGCATAAAGTAAAGCCTATTTACAATAATTACGATGACAGTAAAACTTAAAACACTTCACAGACATACTTCTAAAAATCCTGTTTTCGGTGTGGCTAAATTTTCCATTTAGATGAGACAGATACCCAGTCTGTTCTAATGCATAAAAGTGTAAAGATGGCTGTCCATCACCGAGGCTTAATCACTCCTCTGGGTGATATTACTGTCCTTAAGCAGGCTCCTATGTTCTGGTCTAGTCTCATTTCTTAAGCACAAATTAAGACATTGATAACATGGTTGTAAAATATTTTATAGAAATGTGTGAAAATATGACCAGTGAGTTGAGTGTGCACACCTTATTTGTTACATCTGTGAGAAGGCTTAAACATTTAATTTATCCCCTGATAGAGATTTTTGACACCCTATAAAATACTTGATGTATGCTTAAGTAATGAGAGTCCCTCTTCATATGGCCAGTTTGACATGACTCACTGTTCTACATTTCCATGTCTCCACATTTGAATGCAAGAAATATATGCATGGTCAGCCAACCAACCAACCCAGAAAGTCTACAGCCAAGACTAACACAGTGCAGTACAATCATTGAAGGTGTAAATATAAACCTTTCTGTTGGCATTAGGTGGGAGTTTTGTTGCTGACGTGGAGTTGATGGTCTGTCTTTAGTCGATGTACTTTAGGCGATGTTAAGTTGTGATGTAATCCCTTTAGCCGCTTATTACATAATGTCGTGAGCAAAAGTACCAACTGTACCAGTCATATTTATTTCAAACAAAGCAGATTTCGATTTTTACAGGCAAGGTCATCTGTGAAATTAATTCCTGACTCTATATTCCACTAGTGAGTTGGAAATGACACAGCAGGTAACATGCAACCCACTCATCATCTCTAACAGTACAAAATGTCAGTCTTTCCTGGCCCTCTCCGAGACGGCTGTACTGACTGAAAAAAACAGAAGACTTTGCCACATGGAATAACCTGTCCTTATAATAATAAATCTTCTGACTTTTCAAACAAGGTATTATTTTTTCCAAGATTTCTTCAGGGTTGATCTATCTTTCATTCTGTATTGGTCATTCCATCTGCATAATTGTCTTTTCTTCCAACCATATTGGTTTTTCATCCTGACTATATTGGTTTTTCATCCTGACTATATTGGTCTTTCATTCTGACTATATTGGTCTTTCCTTCTGACTATATTGGTCTTTCATTCTGACTATATTGGTCTTTCCTTCTGACTATATTGGTCTTTCATTCTGACTATATTGGTCTTTTATCCTGACTATATTGGTCTTTCCTTCTGACTATATTGGTTTTTCATCCTGACTATATTGGTTTTTCATCCTGACTATATTGGTCTTTCATCCTGACTATATTGGTCTTTTATCCTGACTATATTGGTCTTTCCTTCTGACTATATTGGTCTTTCATTCTGACTATATTGGTCTTTCCTTCTGACTATATTGGTCTTTCCTTCTGACTATATTGGTCTTTCATTCTGTCTATATTTGTCTTTTATCCTGACTATATTGGTCTTTTATCCTGACTATATTGGTCTTTCATCCTGACTATATTGGTCTTTCCTTCTGACTATATTGGTCTTTCATCCTGACTATATTGGTCTTTCCTTCTGACTATATTTGTCTTTTATCCTGACTATATTGGTCTTTTATCCTGACTATATTGGTCTTTCATCCTGACTATATTGGTCTTTCCTTCTGACTATATTGGTCTTTTATCCTGACTATATTGGTCTTTCCTTCTGACTATATTGGTCTTTCCTTCTGACTATATTGGTCTTTTATCCTGACTATATTGGTCTTTTATCCTGACTATATTGGTCTTTCCTTCTGACTATATTGGTCTTTTATCCTGACTATATTGGTCTTTCCTTCTGACTATATTGGTCTTTCCTTCTGACTATATTGGTCTTTTATCCTGACTATATTGGTCTTTCATCCTGACTATATTGGTCTTTCCTTCTGACTATATTGGTCTTTTATCCTGACTATATTGGTCTTTTATCCTGACTATATTGGTCTTTTATCCTGACTATATTGGTCTTTCATCCTGACTATATTTGTCTTTCCTTCTGACTATATTGGTCTTTCATTCTGACTATATTGGTCTTTCCTTCTGACTATATTGGTCTTTCATTCTGACTATATACATCTTTCATTCTGACTATATTGGCTTTCTTCTCACCACCAAGTATGTTGGTCTTCCAATCTGACTCTTCATATTGGCCTTTCTTTTTGACTTGATCTTGACTTGTCTGTCTGTGGGTTGCTCACAAAGAATGCCAAGGACAACAGTAGAGCCACATCAACATTTACAATGTATTTTCTATATAAAATTACATCATAACAAAAGAATACTTCCTGATCATTGTAGAAACATTAGTCTAGAATGAATTCTTCAGCAACCACTTAGAATAAGAAACTTCAATAGACACACTCTGGCTTGTGTGATTTCATCGTTGACTCCTGGCTACATTGATTTAGCATTACCATGTTTGTACCAATAGATTAATTGTATGACAACTAAAAAACCAGCAAATTGATGACTAGAAAGTTCCAAAATCTGATAACAGTTCCTAGAACTGATAGCCTCACACAACAGATTTAGAGCTTTGACGAAATGGACCTGAATTATAACTTTTCAATTAAAGCGCCATAAAGGCTGATGGTATCAGAAATGATAGGTGTCATAATGTGTAGGGAACATGGAAGCAATTTAAAACCAGTTAAAGAAGCAGCCAAATACACTGCTATCATAATAGATCTGTGGAACAAAGGAAATCAATTTCATGGTGATATTTATATTATATCAGCTCAAAGGATGTGAAACATAATTCAATTTTTTATCATGTATATTTAGATTGTAAGGGTTAGGGTATGCAGTGACATGTCATAATCTTGTCGATGACAGCGTGAATTTTCTCCCTCATGCAACCTGCCACGTAACAGACCTGTAAGGATGGGGGACCAGGGGGGGTGAGTCACTGTTCTTTATATGGCAGTACATCCATATTTCATCCCTATCTGATGAATGTGACAGAATTATGGAAATGACTATAAACCATGACTACAACAGGACAATAAAACATGGAGGTGTGGAAGTACACAGATAATTATTCCTAATTCACATAGAACAGTTTAACACATTATAGAGTTGTCTCCTCCTTGTCATCGACTGATGAGGAACGGATAGGCCCTAAGGAGAAACAGGACAAAAACCTGCCAAATAAGACCATGTGTGTAACAGTTTGTTACGATGACCAAAAAACTGAGTGATAAATTATTCAATTCATTAGCAGAAACCATTGTCTTTGGATGATAATGACGAAAGAATGTCAGCCCCCTGGGTGGCCATATCATGACATGAAGAAACACAGAGTTATCAGGCACACATAATTAATACCCTTTTTTAGCTACTGATTGGTATTTCTTTCTGCACAAAATATAACATCAGAAAACCTGGTGACTGGTCCTTTAGGATCCCTAAATCATTTTGATTATATTCATTATTTAAATCAAAATTCTCGCTGTCAGTTTTAAATTCATTGACAGCGGATCCCAGTTAATATCCACCAGGTGGTATATGGTATTCTCTTAGATGAGAATATTGTTTTGCATTTTTCACACATGCATGGTCATCTAACTGAAACAAAATCAGTCCACAGTTCCTCAGATAATCCTTGACCTTTGTATCGTCAGCAAATCAATAGTGGATCATTGATAATATTAGCCAATCAATAAAGGCCATGGCTTCAACTTCTCAATATTCAAAGTTAATACTATGATCATCAAGTATATCGGTGATGTCAACTGACCTCAATTTTTCATGTAAACTTTCTAATACTATACTGAAGGATGCTGAAGGTGTCAGAAAAAAAACATTCCTGTGTTTCAGATTGGTTAGAGTTTTACTAGCGCTAACTTGAAAATAAAACAAGACATGAGAGATAAAAGTGATAACGAGACATGGTCTGGACCAAAAGTTTTAATGAGGAAGACAGAAATGAGACAGAGTAATCTTAAGGTGGTAGAGATGAAGCACATGTTGGAATCATCAGCTTTCCTACTACGACAAAGTATATGAGACAAGTAAGGTGGGTGAAGGCATGGTATATTTTGTACCTAGCAATCACATTACAGTGATGAAGGCGAGTATGGGCTATTTTGTTTACTTTTTTAAATTTGAGGAACAGAGTGAGGAACACTTTGTTGCTAAAATTCTGTTACAAGGGTGAAGATAAAGGATACAAAGGAGGCTTAGAAGCCAAATCTCTTACTACAATAATAGAAGAAAATATGGAAATAGCTTTGTAGCCAAATCTCTTACTACAGTGAGAGTAAAAAATATGAGACAGACTTTGTAGCCAAATCTCTTACTACAGTGAGAGTAAAAAATATGAGACAGACTTTGTAGCCAAATCTCTTACTACAGAGAGAGAGAAAAAATATGGAACAAGCGTTGTAGCCAAATCTCTTACTACAGTGAGAGAAAAAAATACGAGACAGGCTTTGTAGCCAAATCTCTTACTACAGTGAGAGAAGAAAATATGGAACAAGCGTTGTAGCCAAATCTCTTACTACAGTGAGAGAAAAAAATACGAGACAGGCTTTGTAGCCAAATCTCTTACTACAGTGAGATAAGTGGATATGAAGCAAGCCTTGAAGCGAACAGACGGCCTATGGTGTGGATAGTGGAGATGAAGAAAGCATTGAGCTAACACAACACTACAGACTTGCACTTAATTGCATTTTCGTTTTTGTTGTCGAAAGGTTACAGTTACCATGGGATATTGTTCAACGCACATTTCTACACTATATAACCATAAAAGTCGAATAAACTTGGCAAGGAAAGCTCCAAAGGGGAGGGTCGCTTACTGGCCATCATGTGATCTAGCCATTACAATAGAGGCTCTCGACATTTCACCTCATCTAGCTCCAGGTTTTATGTAGATTTGGTGACAAAAGTAGCCAATAACAAAACTACAACAAAATTTTACAGCAAAATAATTGAGGGATTCGCCAATTTAATGTCCATGATAGAGAATATTACTTAAAGCAATAGAATTAAACAGTTTAATTGTAAAGAATAGAAAATTCTTAAAAGCATTAATTTAATTAAAAGTGTGTAAAAAATGAAAGTAAGTTTAATTCAGTGTTTAAATACATGTGAATCATTGCATGTGAGAATGTTGTTTGTGACTAACCTGGCACCTTCTTAGTTCCCTGGACTTGGTTAGGGCCAAATCTCACTGATGTTTGTCCAAAGGGGCTTCTCTTCAGACCTGTGATCCTCTTTGTGGACTCAAATGCATTTCTGGGATCGTTGTAGCTCCCTGGGGAAGGGTTGCCAGCTTTAAGGGGAGTGAATCTCTGTTACGACAAAAGACATAAATATTGTTTTCATATGAAAAAATGTCCCTACCATATAGTTTACTGACATTATGCCAGCTGTGTTATGTATCAGACTAGTGATTCACATACAGTAATAAAAAATCAATCAAAAATATAATAACCAGATGTCTGACACATCCGTTATCATCATCAAAATAAGTAAATATACTATAATATAAACACAGTGTCAACACAATATACTGACTGTTGTTACTTATACCTACACTAGGATATAGGGAGAATACAGAACATTACACAGTGTCAACACAATATACTGACTGTTGTTACTTATACCTACACTAGGATATAGGGAGAATACACAACATTACACAGTGTCAACACAATATACTGACTGTTGTTACTTATACCTACACTAGGATATAGGGAGAATACAGAACATTACACAGTGTCAACACAATATACTGACTGTTGTTACTTATACCTACACTAGGATATAGGGAGAATACACAACATTACACAGTGTCAACAATTTAGTACCTAACACAGTGTTAACAATATAGTCTCTAACACAGTGGTACCTAACACAGTGGTAACAATACTGTACCTATCACATTTGTAACAATACTGTACCTAACACAGTGGTTACAATACTGTACCTAACACAGTGGTTACAATACTGTACCTAACACAGTGGTAACAATTCTGTACTTAACACAGTGGTAACAATACTGTACCTAACACAGTGGTAACAATACTGTACCTAACACAATGGTTACAGCACTGTACCTAACACAGTGGTAACAATACTGTACCTAACACAGTGGTAACAATATAGTACCTAACACAGTGGTTACAATACTGTACCTATCACAGTGGTAACAATACTGTACCTAACACAGTGGTAACAATACTGTACCTAACCTGTTGTTACAATACTGTACCTAACACAGTGGTAACAATATATACCTAACACAGTGGTAACAATACTGTACCTAACACAGTGGTAACAATACAGTACCTAACACAGTGGTACCTGACACAGTGGTAACAATACTGTACCTATCACAGTGGTAACAATACTGTACCTAACACAGTGGTAACAATACTGTACCTAACACAGGGGTAACAATACTGTACCTAACACTGCAGTAACAATACTGTACCTAACACAGTGTTAACAATATAGTATCTAACACAGTGGTAACAATACTGTACCTAACACAGTGGTAACAATACTGTACCTAACATAGTGGTAACAATACTGTACCTAACACAGGGGTAACAATACTGTACCTATCACAGTGGTAACAATACTGTACCTAACACAGTGGTAACAATACTGTACCTATCACAGTGGTAACAATACTGTACCTAACACAGTGGTAACAATACTGTACCTAACACTGCAGTAACAACACTGTACCTAACACAGTGGTAACAATACTGTACCTAACACTGCAGTAACAACACTGTACCTAACACAGTGGTAACAATACTGTACCTAACACTGCAGTAACAACACTGTACCTAACACAGTGGTAACAATACTGTACCTAACACAGTGGTAACAATACTGTACCTAACACAGTGGTAACAATACTGTACCTAACACAGTGGTAACAATACTGTACCTAACACAGGGGTTACAATACTGTACCTAACACAGGGGTTACAATACTGTACCTAACACAGTGGTAACAATACTGTACCTAACACAGTGGTAACAATACTGTACCAAACACTGCAGTAACAATACTGTACCTAACACTGTGGTACCAAAACTGTACCTTAGACAGTGGTATTAATATTGTACCTAACACAGTGGTGACAATACAGTACCTTGGACTGAGACATAAAAGGTGGGTGCTCCACCTCGATGCCTTCTGTGTTCAGTTTTGGAGGTTCTGGGTCAAATAAGCCTTTGGAATCATACTTGCCAGGGCCTGGAACAGCCTGCAAACACAAACACAGACAACATAGACACATGAAATAGTGATGACATTTATCATAATGATCTCTGAAATAAAAATTAATGTAAGGGAAGCAACTCTTGGAATTGATTAAATTTATGCATTTATTAGAGGAAATGTATAATAGCACTAACACCAGTGGAACCATTTAAGTATCAGGTCATAGCTATTGATTTAATTTTAGATTTTACGTAAACACATCAATTCGACAGACAAAACAAAAAAAAAAAACCCAAAAATTAGCATAAATAAACATGCACATCAAATGTCAACATTTTTTCTTAACGGAGATAGGACAAAAGAAAACTCATCAATACATAACTTTAAACAGAGGACAGAGATATCTTCAGATGTGTCAGAGAAATAGTCTATTTTACCAACCTTCTTTTCTTCGTCTTTGACAATAGCTTCATGGTACCTTGGAATCCTCGCCTCAAATTTAACATGTTGAGGTTCTTCTGCATTCATATTTTCAGGCTTTCCCACCAGTTCCCGGTAAGGTTCATATTCACCTGGTCCTGGGCCCTGCCTCCCCATACTCAGATCTAACCGCTTAGATGTCTGCTTCCCAAAATGCACACCTTTGTAATTTTTTGTTGACTTTGTTTCATCCTGAAAATAAAATCATGAAACCTAAAAATTAATTAAAGCAGTTCTTTTTATTAATTAATTTGTTAATTTACATATATAATATATATATATATATAAAGAGGAAAAAAGTCTTCTGGTAAATTAGTGTATATAGTAATAATAAGTTTGAAAATTTACTGAAACATTGATTGAATAAGATTTAATGTTGTTTTGTACTGAATAGACAAAGTCAGATGTGGCCATATCAAATTTTAAATCAATTGAGGAGTGATAACACTGGTTCAAAAACATGACAATGATAGGAAATCTGAATACTATATTCAAATCTAAAATGTTTTATTATCTTCAACGTCAAATAGCACAGAAAAACTAAGAAACTTCATTTTGATAATGGTCTAAGAGAGCATCATTGGGTATATAAAGAATGATTCTTGTGAAGCAGTAACTGTTTTAGGAACACACAATATTATCTTCACAAATGTATTGCAAAACAAGCTCTTAAGTAGGTCTCTGAAACGGGTAAGATAATTCAAATATACCAAGTGAAGATATATTCCTAACATAAATTTCTAATTGGATATAAAATCAGAAATGATTTGTTACAAGACAAGCCTGGAGAAATTGCATCATCTTTCTTCAATGTTACAATAAAATGTCACCGTACATTGCTGGGTTTGTAGAAGGCAGGTCCCAGACTAACATCACGGTCAGGAGGGGCCTGTTTCTTCAGTGTCCCATCATCACATTCTTCATACCCATATGCCTGACCTGACATTGGAATGGAGGGTGCCTCTGGTTTCCTATGGAACTTGATTCTGCTAGTTAAAAGCTGAAAACAATGGAAATTGTCTGCTTACTATACCAATAACACAACATCAATCAGCTTTGTAACTCTAGAGAGGATTCATTCTTTACCATGTTATATGTATTTTTAGTAATCAAGTATTTCATTGGTCAATGATATATAACAATATATATCTTGATATTAGATTAATCACCGTTAATTCTTTGTTATATTTAAACAGTCATCTAATGACAGTTTCCTTTACAAGTACATGTGGATAACAACAACCCCGTGGAATCTGCTGACTCAGTCAGGACTGTACAGACATACTAAACCAGACCTTATAATTGTTAGAATGTTATAGAAACCATTTGAACCAACAAAACCAACAGAACCAGTCTTACACTGATTGAAGTGAATCAGTCAAGACTGGGTACTGAATCTGTCATTACACTTACTGAGCCAGCCTTATCCTTACCAACATGCACTGGTGCTGATTTGGATGTCCTGAACTCTTTATATTTATCAGAACATACTGAACCAGTTGGTACTGAACCTATCGTTATACTTACTGAGCAAGCCTTATCCTTACTAACATGCACTGGTGCTGATTTGGATGTCCTGAACTCTTTATATTTATCAGAACATACTGAACCAGTTGGTACTGAACCTATCGTTATACTTACTGAGCAAGCCTTATCCTTACTACCCTGCACTGGTGCAGACTTTGATATCCTGAATGATTTATATTTATCAGAACATACTGAACCATTTGATAATGATCCTCTTGTTACACTTACTGCGCCAGCCTTATCCTTACTACCCTGCACTGGTGCAGACTTTGATGTTCTGAACTCTGTATATTTATCAACGCTATATGTTCCTGGACCAGGATTGTCTGTGACAGAATCTCCAAATCTCTTTGATTTGTTGGCTAATGTTTTACCACCCTGTAACAAACATTGTTTCAATGGAACAAATCATCAGATAGGTATCTTAATCTCATACATGTAAACAAAAACAATACATTTCTCTATACATCAATGATAAATCAGATATTTAGAAATACAAAAAAAAAAAAACACTTTAAAGCTAGCTGTACAAATAAAACTGAATTACAGTAAATCACTAAAATATTACCTAACAAGCTTTATACTGGTACGATGTGACAGATATATAAAAGATATCTAATTTTTCCAATTTGACATATTTATTTCAGTTTGAAAGGAAAGAAACAAATTGAAAAAAAAATTGATCTAAAACTAAAATAAACTGATGTCAAGAAAGCTTGGGAAATATTAGTGTCTTCTTGGACAACAAAAAGTTTGATGTTACGCAATATGTACCATTTTGAAGAGAATTATTTATATATTCTAGCACTTTATCCAGAAAAATCAATTACAAAACTGTTTTATATACTTGATTTGTGGAAACTAGAAATGTAAAAAGGGGAAAGATTTCATAGAAAACCTTATTATTCTACATTTGCTTCATTTTTGTTTGAACTGGTAAATCAGCATATTTGCAAGAAGTGACTCAAAAAACCACACTGACAGATCAAAGGTTGTATCATTGATGGGAAAATCATATCATCACTAGGTGTTGAGTGTTAATACAAGAATATTTTTGTAAATACCTAAGTCTCACCAGTAAAAATGTAATGAATTTTTTTTCACATGTATTATGTTGTGGATCCACACATGAGAATGTCAATGTGAGACTAGTGACTAATGAAATTGTCCAGTGACATTACTTTGACCAAGTTCTAGGGATCTGCATAGATCAGAATAACCATGCATGTCCAGTGGCATTTTTCTCAAGAATGGCCTGCATGAAATGTCAACACCAACCCTGTTGAAGATACTTACCTTGATTGTGTCCTGAGCTTGAGCTGGGTCATAGTGACCAGGTCCTGGGGCTGCAACCACTTGATCTCGGACATTGAAGAAGCCATCTCTACTGGTCATAGACAGGAATGGGGCATAGCCATCTACAGGGGTCAAAATGTTTATGTAAGCATAAATCTATATAGTAATTATACCATGTAATGGCAAAACCTGATCACACCTTATCAATAATTATTCAAGTTAAAAATGAAGATTTATGATTTGACCTTTAAAATTTTTACCTCGAGCCTTTATGTGAGAAAATGAATCATCACATACACTACTGACCTCTGTGTTCTGAGATTATGAACATTTCTATTTTTATAATCATGTAGTCATTATTAATCTAAAACTATTGAATGAAATGTACCAGCTTTTACTCTGCCCTTGCCAGATAGTCCAGCATCATAAGAACCTGGTCCCACATTATGAGGTGTGGATCCATACAGAGCCACCAGATCTCTTGGTGCTCGGTCATACATTGTGCTTTTTTCACCTTGACTTTTTTGTGATTTTTTTGTCTCGATAAGCTAGATATTACACTAGCTCTTCATCTGAAAAGAAATTATAGACATGATGTTATCAGAAGTATGCTTGATAAATGATGTGATTACAATTATATATTATGTGACATATTGTTCATCTCTAATTTTAAAAAAAACACAGAATTAAATAAAAATACAAAACTTTTCTTTTTTACAGGAAGTATTGAATTACCAAAATATTTGCAATAGGTTTACACTTTTACATAAGAAGTTAATCAGATTTGAGACCATTCTATCGTACATTGTTATTTAGGATAATACAAGAAACTATATAGTTTTTCAAATGTTCTTTAATTTGATCTTGATGACATCTATCTGTATTTGGTGGGAAATTCAAATACAATTTTTGTTGCAATTTATGAAAAATGTATATATTTATCTGTCACCTATATCGCATTCATACTGATTGAATACTACCACATGGAAACAGTTTGTTGATTAAATGTAACATATGTCCTTTTGTTGAACATATTGGAAAATAAATATTTTGTCATTCTTCCAAAGGAGTCATGACCAGAACTGGGTATCAAGTTCGCTTACAATCAGTGGTGGAATTCTTAGGTGCACAAAATAATGACTATCAATGTACACATTAAGTGATCATTCCATGGCCGTTATGTTGCATTGTAGGCCATATAATGAAAACATTCACTTTAAACTCGCTATTATTTTTCAGTGGTCAGATTAGTTACATTGTTCAAGTAGACATAAGTGACAGATTCCTAGATACATTTTTGTAAAGAATAATTCCCAGAGCAGGCAAAACTTTTTCTATGAATTAGGGTACAAGATCGAAAAAAAGAAATTTCAGTACCCGAACTAAGTCTACAACACTAATTCAATAATATCGGTCAAATAAGTTGACATTGACACACACAGATTTAAACGTCTTTTACCTGAATAATATTGCATTTGCTTATTCCAAATATACGTACCTGTACTGCCATTCATATATCTTGATATATGGTTGAAAAATCTTGGGTAAAAACAAGGTAAAACTAACACCGTTCTTCCATTTACTTCTGTTGCTATGGTACAATATGGCCGCCAAGCTATCGACCTCTTTACGGTAGAGCGTTGTCGTAATAGTCATGCTTTTCCTACTTCATTGATGAAACTATATTGGATTTAGTCACAGACAAATTGAAAATATTAACTAATGATTGTGTGCTTAATGAAATAAATCAATATAGCACATACTGAAAAGTATTGATGTCGTTTAACTTTATGGTAGCACATGCGACTTCCTGTCACTATCGTCGGTGAGCGGTTTGTTTACATTTCACATTACACAACAAAAGCTACACGCCTACATTACGATTTCTGAAGGCTGGAAACGTACACTGTGTGTGGTTGTTCTTACATTGTTTTCTGTATATATTTTGCTACTTAATAATATTTATGCCATTGTTGCATATATTATGTAATCAACCCGACTGAGTTCGTCTGACCGTTTATCTGTAAGACCGTGTTATTTAGTGATTACTGTTACTATACACGACCTCCTTTTTCCCCGATTGCGTCGTGAAAATACTTTTGTTTGTTACAGCGACATCATGGATGTTCTAACTTCTACTGTGTTCAACATGTATTATGTAGAGACGTTCAAAGATACGTCATTGTACCGTTGCTGAAGAAAGAACGTATGATACTATCTCGGCTTATATATATATTTCACAAGCAATGATATTTTATGAATAGGTAAGAAGTATATTTATACATTGATACTTATACAGTATACCTCGGCACAAGGAAATATGTAACATATTATTATATGTCCCTGTAATGTAGTTACAATTATATGTATTGAATAAAGACAGTAATCATAAGAAATTATGATAAGAAGGAGAACTCTTACATTAATTAACTGTACTGCAGACACATGTCATGATAAATGGGTGCATGCTTTGGCAGACCAATGAAAGGCCATCATCACAACTTGGCAATCTTATGTGCTCACATGAAAGCTTGATATTTTTTCTAGAAAAAAGAAATTTAAAATATGCACCAAATGATTTGCCTTCAACTTTTGTTAAATACATATCCCATCAAAATGACATGTGTAATTATTTTTAATTGTTTAATGTTTAAGAATAGAACTAGTTCCAAAATTAAATTGTTTTATTCTCAAATAGACTGGATTGAAATGAGTTCAGCTAAAAAATATTGCAATCTCTTCATAGAAAAGTAAGTTGACTTGTTACAATTGAGATATTGGCATACTCACACAGTTAAAGTGAACTCAATTTTATTATTGTCCATACATGTTCAATTAGAAATCAGTCAAGCTTATTATAGACTTACACCACCTAATATTATAGTTAAAAGAGACAGTATAACAAATGTGAAGAAAGCTGTTCTTGCCGAGTACTCTTACAAGAATCAAACTTCAGGTGTCCAGCTTTATAATCCATGGTTTAATAAAATGAGTCAAAGAAGGATGTTGTATCCTCAGGGTGACAGACACCAAATTTATAACACTTTGGACAAGCCATGTGACCATCAATTTTAAGATAAGCATGCATAAGGATTTGTGATAAAGTACAATATATATAATGAATATTTCATTCTATAGAGTACCAACCTGCTTTCCCAACCTACAATGTATTCTAGTGACCTTTCCCAATACCGTAATATCAATGATAGATATCAAAGTTGAGGAAACTACTTTCAATAAGTGTTTTGCTAGATACAGTTTGACAAATGGGAAATTTTACTGTCATCATGATTTTGATGTGTTAGATGCACATTAGTACCAGTGGTAGTATTGTTAGTTCCCAATTTTGAGAATGTGAAATTATTTTGATTGACTTTGTCTTATTAACTTTTTCAAAGGTCTTTGTGTAAATTGTTCCTATTGTTCCTAAAGTCCTTTTGTTTCATCAATTATTTTGACATGTCTGTATTCACTTGTTGCATTTCCTAGAAAGGTAGCTTCATTAGGATTGATAGATAGAATTGGGAACTTAATTATAGCCTACATCCTTATATGTGTCCTCCAGACCTGTTTTCAATTTCTGTCAAATGTATATGATAAAAGATATTAAAGTAGGTGATCAGTACAGATCCAAGGGCCTGTTATTTATGTTGACAGTGTCCGTTATATTGATTACTTGTAACATATAAGCAATGCTGAGCTTGTACCACTCTTGTGTTTCTATTGACAATTTTCATGCTGGTAACAATAAACTTGGCTTTGCAACCTTTATCTTGAGCAACTTGATTATGATGGTGACCTGATAATAGTGTTTTTGTCATGTTTACAGTGCATTTCTCATCGTAAATCTCGCTCTGATGACCAAATACTCACATTCACAGTGACTGATATTGTTACAAACATATGACATCATTACGATGACAAGCTGTGTATCTTGACAATCAGGGTTGAACAGAGAAAGCCTGTAGATGAGACTTTGATATTCTGCTGATAGTTAGATTGTTAACCTTAAAATGAATTGTTTTACCACATGAGAATATAGCATTAATTTTATGACACAGACGTTTTGGGGAACAAACAGCTTTGATATTACAACTTGTTGTTTTTCTCTTCATGTTTATCGTTTAACTGCATGTTTAGAAGTCTGGTGTTCTATTTCTCATCAAAGAATGGAACAATATCTTAAAGATGAATACATAGTGTTGATAATTCATTGTCAAGCTTACATTAAATACAGATTTCAAATATGATTATGTACGGGTGCAAGCAGAATTTTATGACTGATTTTGTACAAGTGTGTTATACATTTTAAGTATGATTCGGTTCAGATGGGATGAATTTTTTAATGTATGAACATGTACAGGTGTGATAATTGTTTTTCTCTTATTTCTACCTGAGTAATACTGGTCTGTCCAGGGCGATACACCCAGGTTCGCTGTTCTTGTATTACACACCTCATGCAATACAGTTGCACATGTGTAGAATATGACATGTCCCTTCCCAACTAACTTTATCATCTGATACAATGTTTACACATCAAATGTATGTGTACAAATAGTTATTTGCTGTGACTTTTTATATTTTGTTTTAATTTTCTAGAGCAAACTTTGTTTGCCAAATTTTGGTATGGAGAATATGTCTTGTATGTCAGCTTTGCTTATTAAAAATATAGGATTTTTATGTAATATTGAGTCCTTGGTAGTACATTGTCAACATCTGAGGCTAAGATTTTTCAATGTTATAGAATTAGAATTGAGAGAGTCTTTTATTAAAGTGTGATAAAGTTTTCATATATGATTATGTACAGGTGTGGTATTCAGAATGACAAGAAGTAAGGAGGTACACCTGATAACAGGAGGTGGTGGGTATCCAGGATACACTCTAGGCAAGCAATTGATTGGACGGAACCACAAAGTTATTCTTCTGGACCTCAGGGAACCAAAATGGCCGCTGGTGGAAGGCATGACCTTTGTTAAGGTATAACCACTGAGTATAAGATAGTAGTGTAGTTATCTTTTTCATCATTATATATATTTTGTGAAATATTTAATGGTTCTGTTGTTAGCAAAATCAAGGGAGCTCTGTGCTGCAATCTGTGGGGATCTCAAACAACAATAGACCATGGGTTATTACATTGAAATTTACTAAGTATAAACATTCATATATTATAATAATATCTTCACAAATCTGTAAAATGGAATAAGATAGAGAAATCTACTAACTAAAGCATTCAGGTATTGGTTTGATATCCCTGCTTTCAGAACTTTCAGGCTTTGGTTCATTCTCGATACTCCAAGGGATACACTCACTATCGCTCTTTGCACCCCTGGAACATGTCATAGCAAAATTGAAGGTTCCATGTGGGACACCTTGTGGACTAGACGAAAAGACTAGTTTGATCCTTTAATGTACATCAAACGAATCTCAAGGTTTCATAATGGTATATTGTAATGGCTTGGAAGTGGGGTGTTGCTTCTTTCTTTTCTCCAAAGGAGAATATCAGCTGGTGATTGGTATTGTTTTTCTCCTAAAACCTGCTCTAGACCAATCAAATTACCTAGCTTGTGCCTTCAATTTTGCCATGATGAGGATGACTTTGGTTACACACCTGTTCATTTGATGCTTATTATTTCACATTTCCTGTAGCAAGTTTTGTTACTTAGTACCAATTTTCCTTCTTTGTTTTACATCTTATTGTTTTGTGAGAATTAAAAACAAATTGAAAACCCAATGCAATAATATCTTGTGGAATTGGAGGAAAAATATTTAGATTAATCATAGCAAACCTTGGTAAAAATCTCTGAAGGTATACATACTTTATCAATGGTATTATGTCTTCAGATATTGTTTGTTGATTATCACAAAAGTAGCTCTTTTGGAGGGAAATGAATTATTGTTGACTAAAAGAGTCAAACTAGATTGACCGGTCAGACTCATCTTAGTTATCACATTGTTTACCTGTGTATTAATATTCATTTGGGAGGATAGGTAGACCAATCATTCTTTTAAGATAATGGTGTTTAGTGATTACAGATGAAGCAAGGAATAGTTGAGCATATCTAAGAATGAACGTGATACCCAACTGTAATATTCCAGGTAAAGTTCAAAGGGAAAAGTCATTTTAGTTTGACTGTTTAAAAAGTTTTGAAAATGAGTCAGTTATTTTACAGAATGATTACTTCATATTTGATTTCTAGTCATTCTGGGAGAGATTCTGCTCAATGAACAGATGTGTTACTTAAGACTTGGTATCATTGCCTTTCAGCAGACCAGTAACCAATGATATAAAAACTGTATTCTTACCTTTAAGGTGATTTGTATATATCTACACAATATGATACCTTGCACTGTTAGCGATCTGTATATAGAGCAGACCAACAAATTACAGCTGGAATCTTCTTACAGCAATCTGAAAAATTAAAGATCTAATGTCAGTATAGACAGGGAAATCTTATGTTCAGGTGTCAGTGTAGACAGGGAAATCTTATGTTCAGGTGTCAGTGTAGACAGGGAAATCTTATGTTCAGGTGTCAGTGTAGACAGGGAAATCTTATGTTCAGGTGTCAGTGTAGACAGGGAAATCTTATGTTCAGGTATCAGTACAGACAACAGATTCTGATGTTCAGGTGTCAATGTAGGCAGGGAAATCTTGTCTTCAGGTGTCAGTATAGACAGGGAAATCTTATGTTCAGGTGTCAGTGTAGACAGGGAAATCTTATGTTCAGGTATCAGTACAGACAACAGATTCTGATGTTCAGGTGTCAATGTAGGCAGGGAAATCTTGTCTTCAGGTGTCAGTATAGACAGGGAAATCTTATGTTCAGGTGTCAGTGTAGACAGGGAAATCTTATGTTCAGGTATCAGTACAGACAACAGATTCTGATGTTCAGGTGTCAATGTAGGCAGGGAAATCTTGTCTTCAGGTGTCAGTATAGACAGTGAAATCTTATGTTCAGGTATTGGTGTAGACAGGGAAATCTTATGATCAGGTGTCAGTACAGACAACAGATTCTGATGTTCAGATGTCAATGTAGACAGGGAAATCTTATGTTCAGGTGTCAGTATCGACAGGGAAATCTTATGTTCAGGTATTGGTGTAGACAGGGAAATCTTATGTTCAGGTGCCAGTGAAGACAGGGAAATCATAATGTTTAAATGTTGGAAGAGACAAGGTAATGATGGAGTTTTGACTTTGAATTCTGTAATTGATTGTTGCCTTTTCTACTGCATACTTGGATGTAAATGTAATTGTGTGAATTCTCTGGTTTATTATGTTATTCTAGGCTGGTATACATCAGCTATTGATGTGGTAAAATCAAGGTGGAAATGTACAAAATATGAAACCGCCAAACATCAATAAAACAAACTTAAAGATAAAAACAGATGAGGAAATATCAATAAAATGTCAGAAGAAATAAACTGTTGGGATATCAATATGGAACACAGAATATAAACGTGAGAAGTTGGAGTAGAGAAGTGAGAAATATCAATATTAAGACATGGCCTTATGTGTTGTATACTGGCATATCTCTGTGTATATTGGTAAAAGTAACAAATGTCAGACTTTGATTTTATCATGGCCACTGATTGCTTCATGTGGAATTGATCGCTTGTTTTAACATCGTTTAATTGATTCTTTGGTGCACTATCACGAAAGAAAAGGTTTTTATCTTACATCCTGTTATGTTTACTGGACAAGCAGTAAGTATTAGTAAATTCCAAGGTCAAGATGGTGTTTCCAAGGTTAGGATACTGTATACAAAACCAGTTCTGTATTGAAGGTCAGGATGATATGGCTAAGGTCAGGGTTCTGTATTTTTGAGACCAGGATCCTGTATCTAAAATAAACAGATACCTGATCGTACATAATGTGTCCAAGCTAAAGGTACTGTTTTCAATGTCAGAGTTCTGTGTCCATGGTCATAGTACTTTATCCATGGTCAAGGAACTTATACAAAAATAGGGGTACAATTTACAGGGTAAGGTTACCACTTCCAAAGACAATCTTAGAAAGACAGTATTTGGTATAACCCCAGTAAGATTTTATCTGGTACGACCTCAGTAAGACAGTATCTGGTGCAACCATAGTAAGGCAGTATCTGGTGCAACCATAGTATGGCAGTATCTGGTGCAACCATAGTATGGCAGTATCTGGTGCAACCATAGTATGGCAGTATTTGGTGCAACCATAGTAAGATAGTATCTGGTACAACCATAGTAAGATAGTATCTGGTGCAACCATAGTAAGATAGTATCTGGTACAATCATAGTGAAGCATTATCTGGTGCAACCATAGTATGGCAATATCTGGTGCAACCATAGTAAGATAGTATCTGGTGCAACCATAGTAAGATAGTATCTGGTGCAACCATAGTATGGCAGTTTCTGGTGCAACCATGGTATGGCAGTATCTGGTGCAACCATAGTATGGCAGTATTTGGTGCAACCATAGTAAGATAGTATCTGGTGCAACCATAGTAAGATAGTATCTGGTGCAACCATAGTAAGATAGTATCTGGTACAATCATAGTGAAGCATTATCTGGTGCAACCATAGTATGGCAGTATCTGGTGCAACCATAGTATGGCAATATCTGGTGCAACCATAGTATGGCAATATCTGGTGCAACCATAGTATGGTAGTTTCTGGTGCAACCATAGTAAGGCAGTATCTGGTGCAACCATAGTAAGGCAGTATCTGGTATAACCACAGTTAGACACTATTTGGTTTACACCTGATAACATGTTTGTGGTAATTGGTATAGGTTAAAGGTCAAAGCTCACACTTAACCACTTTGGAAATGATAAGCATGTGTATGAGATTTCTCATAAACTTTGCTAAACTAATTTAGTGTAATTACAAATAATCACATTACAACAGTGACCACTAACTACTTGATCCAGTGGTAAGAGGTGTATATCTATGGGAGTCCCTGCTAACTTGGATTTTATTGTATCTGATTTGGTTTATTTGCAGGCCAGCATCACAAACCTTGATGAACTGGAATCAGCATTTCAGGGTGTGGACTGTGTGTATCACATGGCATCGTATGGCATGTCAGGCAGAGAACAGGTATATCACACATAGATACATTGTTGGAATATTAAGGTAGTGACAACACACTGGAGACCAATAAATTTTACCTCTGTGTGAGGTAGACAGAGAATTCTCCAGCCTTACAGGAGTAAAAATGTTTAGCATGAAATTTGATTTTCTCCTTCACTGTCCTATTGTTTACCAGATGTTATGATCTAATTACCTGGTACATCACAACATTGTAAACTGTATAGAACATGTGGATAATAATGTGTTATCAGATTGTGACATTGTTAACCACATGACAATATATAATGTGAGAGGGAACATGTTAAGCTAAAGGTTCTGTGAGTGATGTCTTTTCAGAAGTGGGTTGATGCAGATTTTATTTTCCCTTAAAAAACAGGAGACACTTGTGAAGGGTGGGAGAAATATAACATGTAATCTAATACCACATCCTCTGTACTTACAATACAGTCCTCTAATGGTGAATATGATAGAGAGCACACCTTCTCTAATAGTGAACATGATATAGAACACAACTCCTCTAATGGTTGATATGATAGAGAACACAACTCCTCTAATGGTCGATATGATAGAGAACACAACTCCTTTAATGGTAAATATGATAAAGAACATAACTCCTTTAATGGTAAATATGATAGAGAACACAACTCCTTTAATGGTAAATATGACAGAGAACACAACTCCTCTCATGATTGAAATGACAGAGAACACAACTCCTTTAATGGTAAATATGACAGAGAACACAACTCCTCTCATGATTGAAATGACAGAGAACATAACTCCTTTAATGGTGAATATGACAGAGAACACAACTCCTCTAATGGTTGATATGATAGAGAACACAACTCCTCTAATGGTTGATATGACAGAGAACACAACTCCTCTAATGGTTGATATGACAGAGAACACAACTCCTCTAATGGTTGATATGACAGAGAACACAACTCCTTTAATGGTAAATATGACAGAGAACACAACTCCTCTCATGATTGAAATGACAGAGAACATAACTCCTTTAATGGTGAATATGAAGAACACAACTCCTCTAATGGTTGATATGATAGAGAACACAACTCCTCTAATGGTTGATATGACAGAGAACACAACTCCTCTAATGGTTGATATGACAGAGAACACAACTCCTCTAATGGTTGATATGACAGAGAACACAACTCCTCTAATGGTTGATATGATAGAGAACACAACTCCTCTAATGGTTGATATGATAGAGAACACAACTCCTCTAATGGTTGATATGATAGAGAACACAACTCCTCTAATGGTTGATATGATAGAGAACACAACTCCTCTAATGGTTGATATGATAGAGAACACAACTCCTCTAATGGTTGATATGATAGAGAACACAACTCCTCTAATGGTTGATATGATAGAGAACACAACTCCTCTAATGGTTGATATGATAGAGAACACAACTCCTCTAATGGTTGATATGATAGAGAACACAACTCCTCTAATGGTTGATATGATAGAGAACACAACTCCTCTAATGGTTGATATGATAGAGAACACAACTCCTCTAATGGTTGATATGACAGAGAACACAACTCCTCTAATGGTTGATATGACAGAGAACACAACTCCTCTAATGGTTGATATGACAGAGAACACAACTCCTCTAATGGTTGATATGATAGAGAACACAACTCCTCTAATGGTTGATATGATAGAGAACACAACTCCTCTAATGGTTGATATGATAGAGAACACAACTCCTTAGACTGCTGATATAAATTTTGTTGGACATTTACTGAAATGTGTTCTTTGTAAGAAGCCCTATTGAGGTTTTCACCTAAGCCATTAAATGATTTTGTACAATGCTTGTAATTTGTTCTTTTAATGGATGGAAAATAATCCTAAATCCTCAAACTAAAGAAAATTTAGCACAAACAAGAATTTTTGATAAAAGCCAAATAATCTGAAAAGATATACATAGTTGACCTGGTTTGTGGAGAGTGGATGATGGACCTGTTGAATCATTAGACCTCAGAGACTGATCTGCTTATAACTTCTGCATCAGTTCCGAAAAGTTCTACCATGCATTTACTCTATCAAGTGACAGATCATGGTGGTGATGACAACGTGTAATCTGTATTTAATGACAGATTGATAAAAACAAACGTAAAAGCTGGTTTTAGATGTTAACTACAATGTAGGTTGATAAAGAACTCGTTTGATTGGTACAAGTCAGCAGTCAGTCAGTCATGTGATATAATGGCAATATCAACAGCACAATAAACTAGTAACACAAACACTGTTTATCATCCTACAGATCAATATGTGCCTATCACTTTAATCTCTGTCCTGTACAGAAATGTTTCATGCATGGTTGCATTTGTTGAGGATTCTGACTGGGGGTTTTCAAGTTATTTCTTAATTTCAAACGTTAGAACAATCTTTTCACTGCTACCTTTTCACTGGTGATTGAACAGGGCAGTTATGTGAATTCTCTGCTTTCGATGACATAAACATAAAAAAAAAACATAATGGATGCATGCTCAGAAGCAATTTTTTCAGGATTTACATTTTGCAGTTGAGTGGCCTATTTCTTGGAAGACAGATCAGTAGGTGGTCCCATCAGAGACCATATTGTTCATTTACAATAATTAGGTTGAGATTTTAAAATCACAGAATTCTAGCTGCGCAAGTCATGATCTTATATATATTACATGCACTAAGGTTTACTGTTGTTATTGTAGAAGAAACTTTTTATTCAAGTATGGTAGGATTGTAGCTGTCCAGTAAAGTAAGAATAATGTAATAACAGCCACTTTTTTCCAGTAGATCTTTTCTAAAGATTGTTTGGAGATTTCCTCTGTCTGGATTGCAACATTTCCTTATTTGGTGATGCAGAACAAATTCAATTTTGTATATTTGCATGAGGTATTTAAAGGATTTGAAAAATTGAGTTGCAGTAATTTGCTGTTCTACCTCAACTAAGTTACATTTACCAAAAGTGATTACTGTGTCAAGGCCATTTGTTAATCTCCAACAGAAGGTCACTAGTCTATAACATCACCTATTCATGTGTGATTGACTCAAGGTGGCTGAGAATACCAAGTCTAGCTCATTAAGATGTTAAATGTCTTTAGTGATTCAAAACCAGACACATTGCAGCAACAACTTGAAACTTGAATTCACAAATAGGAACATTTTTTTTTCAAACTGTAAGTTAGTAAATAAAGTTTCTATGGTGTCAGAGTCCAAGGTTAGTACAATATCTGACAATTGCAGCCTTCAACTCAACATAATTGTTCTTAAACTTCATTTACACTGACATGAATGACATCTGGATACTCTATTAAAGGCTTTAGAGGTATTTTGCAGTACTTATAGATTATAATGTGAATATAAGATATCACACTCTTTATCAACTGGAGATCCAGATTTTATATATATGATTAGCTAATCAAGGGTTTGAAGACCAAAATGCTGATATCTGGTTTAGGACTGGATGTGGCCCAGATATCAGCTCATCTAGAGACCCAAGACTTGAGGTTATGAATGGTTTGTTATCAAAGTAGTCATATTAATAATGTCTTATTACAAATTTTGAAAACAAAACAAAAGGGGTAATTTAAATATTCAACAAACTTAAGAAGAAATTCAACATTAAGTGTAAGAGCTGTCAGATATGTTAAGTGTAAGAGCTGTCAGATATGTTAAGTGTAAGAGCTGTCAGATATGTTAAGTGTAAGAGCTGTCAGATATGTTAAGTGTAAGAGCTGTCAGATATGTTAAGTGTAAGAGCTGTCAGATATGTTAAGTGTAAGAGCTGTCAGATATGTTAAGTGTAAGAGCTGTCAGATATGTTAAGTGTAAGAGCTGTCAGATATGTTAAGTGTAAGAGCTGTCAGATATGTTAAGTGTAAGAGCTGTCAGATATGTTAAGTGTAAGAGCTGTCAGATATGTTAAGTGTAAGAGCTGTCAGATATGTGATGTTAACAGAAACAGGTAAGTGTAAATCTAAATTACAAACTGACCATAGAACTGAATTAAAAAGTGATATCAGCAAAGTTGGCAAAAACAATTCTTTATAATCTGCCATGACACTGATATGACGAAGCAAACAACGCCTGTATCCTAAACAAAATTAAGATAAGTAAAAGTCTTTGGAAGTCATATATATAGATATACAAATATATATTATAACTGTTACATAAATCTGACTGATATTTTACTCCAAGCTTCATAGCAGATTACTGCATGCTGTGGAGGACATTCTTTAAAATAATTACATGATATCAATTAGAACACTTCACTAATTCACAAAACTTGCTCTCAGGATAATGAAAAATGGTTACCTTCGATTTCCTGTTAATCAAATCTGTCAAAAGCACCTATTGATTCAAAGAAGGATATAAATGGAAATCTCCTATACAATTTCTTCTTCTGTGTTACTTACAAATGCATCACATCGTTGTCATTTGGAAGCTTTCTTACATCATTGTCACTTTCAGGCTTTCATCGCAACACAGATGTTTGCCTTGATATACTGCTAGAAGACAATTCTATCTGTCACTTAGGCCCATTGATGAAGTCATGTCAGGAATCACAGCAATGCTAGTCATGGCCGTCACAAATTTATCATTCAAATTGCTGTAGAAATATCTTGTCAACAGAATATTTATCCCAAGTCTATAATTTTTTATTATGCAAAACACATCATGTCAAATGACATTTGTGTAATTTGTTTTTCGACATGTTTGTAGAGATTGTTGAGGGGTGTGTATGCACAGCGTAATGGAGAAATTCACAGATATGCAATACCCGACAAGAAACTCGAGGAATATTGATTGTATTACAGGATATGTATGGAAAAAGATGAAATGTTTTACATTTTAGAGAAATCTGTGAGGAATTCTTCATGTATATGTATACATTATCACTAGCCTTTGATGTTGGGGAGGCTGCATGCCTGTAGGGTAATGGAAGGGGAGGTGAATGTTGTAGATCTAATAACTACCAACACTAATATTGGAGGAAG